TGCTGGTACGCACAATCAATGAGAGGAAGCCTCCTAGAGACAAAATGAACATGCTCCATGTCCCACTCTTGGCATCTCTTCTAATTGATTGAGAGGAGATGCCTCCCCCCTATCTTGTGTCATTCGGCCAGCACAAAGCAGGAGAAGCCCAAGGAGAAGCAAAACTCTAGTTGGAGGAAGAGGGAAGCTAGGAAAATCCACAAGAAATAGCTTGAGTTTAAGGTAAGAACATAACTATTGTTCTTTAACTAGTTTTATCATGTATGATTTGTAAGAAATCATATGGTGGATTAAACATGATGTTCTACACATTTAAAAGTGTAGAATATTGTTATAAAGTGGTGTTAATTAACTTAGAAGGGTTGGCAAATCGATAGGAGTCGAAACCGCCGGAAACCGCCACTCCAAAGGAGCTGTTCGTAGTTGCAGACTACGAAAGCCGCCCGACTTTTGTCCAGGTAGTCCAGTTTTGACTTCTTATCGGTTTAAAACGAGGATTAATTGGGGAGCTTAACAAAGGCAACTATTTCAGCACTTCATAATGTGAGGATGGCTGACTATATTGCTTATAATTAGTGAGTTAATTTCATGAGATTTCCTAAGGTAATTAAATGTGTTTTTTTTGGATTATTAATGATTAATAATGCCTAAGAATGAGAAGACTAATGTCTAAAGAAAAAGGAGCATGATATACAAATTTAAGAGTAAATTGTGTATGATCATGTGTTATGAATATGTTGACTTGAAAGTGGAATTAATTATGAAACATATGTTGAAATATATTTTTCTTCATATTAGAATATATGAGGGATTAAAAGTGATATTTTGAATATTGAGATAAATGATATTTTCAAAGGAAAATCAGTTGGAATTGTCTATATGACTATGAGTTGAGAACTTGGTTGGTTGGTATTAATTTGACTAGTATTAAGATACTAGTTGGACATTAAGATGAAATGTTGTTAAGATTATCCTAAGGTTGGATTGTGAAATGTTATGCCTTAAGTAGTCTTAAGAGATGCTTTAAGGTAGGAAAGTATGAACTCTAAGTTATACTAGGGGTAGGCCTTAAGGGATACCCAAGATAAAGTAAGTAATAAATTGATCCTATGTATAGGATTGGCCTACGGGTGTGTTCGGTAGTCCTTGTGGATAGCCGGTTGAATTATTGAAATAAGTAAGGACCATGGCCCTTCCCGAATCTAGAGAGCGGGGTTGGATAACATGGACTTGCATCGTGATCACGGGTTAGGGTGGAATCCGAATCGGAGAGCTAACTAGGTTCCGGTAGCGGTAACACATAAGATAGGACCCTGAAGGGCCTTACCTTCCTATGGGATGACGGGTATGAGTCCATGGGCGGGATGTTGGAGTCCGAACCGAGAGCCTCATGAGGTCTCGCACAGCGGTAGCAAGTCCCGTAGAAATATTAAGACACAAGGATTGGGTTGTGCAAAGGATAAATGAAAAGGAATATATAAGAAGGGCCGTGTGCCAAACAAACAAATTATGAATTTACTTATTGCAAGGATAATAAGTGGGAAATATAAATTATTATTTATATTATGATATCACCCTATTTTGAGGGTCTTGGAAATTATAACGTTGATTATACTTAGTATAGTTGTCATTGTACTTGTCAAATGCTTCCAAGTACTGACTTCCCCTTCACGGGGGAGGCCACCTCACAGTTTCAGGTAGAACTTGAAGGTTGCTACCGGCGCCCGTTGTTTCGGGGATATTCAGGGAAGAAGACGTGGTTCGTGCTTCTTCTGTTTCCTATTTTCAAAACAATTATAACAATGCTCATGGATATTGTTTTTGAATAATTATTTGGGGGCTTGTATGCCCATGTTTGCCAAGGTGTGGCATAAACACTTGTGTTAAATGTTTCCGATGCTATAAATGTTTATTTTACATTATGTTTTTTTATGGATGTACTATGTGTGAATGGTATTCAAGACGCCTTGTATAGTATGGATGAGTTGGACTGCGGTTGACTATTCGTACTGTACGGCGGGTTGTCGACGTGTCCGGCTAGGTCCGGGGCGTGACACCACGACCCATTCCTATTATCAAAATAGTATTGTTTAGATCAACATTAATTTTTTATACACTAAGAATATCACGGGTGGTCCCCACTCCCGATGTGGGTCCCGCGTCTGATCAATAATCCTTTATTAATTTAAGACAAGAATTTTATCTTTCTCATTTATCAAGGTTAATGTAGTCTTGATTTACGTTCTTTAACCATGTACTTAATGGATAAAAAAAATCTCTGGGTAAAATTCGGATCCAGTGTTACAACTTGAGTGACAAGTTGAGCTAGATTATTAATTTACTATCATTATTTTTTTAATAGCGTGTATTTTTTGACATTGAAAAAACGGACTTATGAAATTCCGAGCACCCGCGTACACCGGGCGAGCACACACACTCGCGCCACCGGGTCACGTCAAACGAGTGTGGATAGTAAGCTCCCAATCCAAATGTTGTCTAATGCATACTTTAGTTTCTATGTTTTGTATGAGTTATGTGTGTGCTCTAGCTATCAGAAATGAACTGCAATCCCTCAGTGGTAGGTTCAGTCCTTTTTGCGTGCAACACTCCAACTAAGCATAGAAACCTAGCTTGAGCTGCAGCATGGAAATTTGAGGCAACTTAATTTAGGCTCAAATCCAATAGCAAATTATAAGCTCAAGAAATTATAACAATTTTATTTGAATGCATAGGTGCAACTAAATGATGACATCATACCGGCCACTTAGCCGTCTCTCCTGGTCATCTTTATTTGATGGCTTGGACTTCTTATAGGCCTCTCGGCCACACGTCTCGGTCACTTTATTTGATGACTCGTACATCATATTATGGACGGTCACTCAACCTATCTCTTAGTCATCTTTATTTGATGACTAGGACTACCTATCATGCCGAGGTACGCACATACGAGGACCGATCTTGGCCATCCCCTTAACAGATGCCGATGGTTGCAGTTCCACACCCAGGCCGAAGGGTTCACCCCTTTTGCTTCATTTTGGGGGCATCTCGTGTACTCTTTTTCCCTCATTAGGATTTTTCCCACAGAGTTTTTTCCTAATGAGGTTTTTAACGAGGCATCTCCCCAACGTGGACAAAAGGTGTCGACCCTCGGTCCCTATTTGAAGACATCACGAGACATGCACTACTCTACTCCTCTTCACCTCACTACATTCACCTCAAGGAGTAGGGGACTGGAAGAGCGGGGGACTTAGCGTCTCCGTTAACCAAAGAAGCTGAAATCCAGATTTTTTCACGAAGTTTGCTCCACCAGACGATGACAGATCAGTACATAGTTCTACTCCCTTTTGCCTCGAGTACTCTCGACTTAGGGAGTGTGGGACTCGTGATGAAGTATATAGACTCGGACCCCCGGGTTTCACGATTATTGGGCATGGACAGCGGCCACACATGCCATACAGATATTACTTGTACAGCCCAATTTGTATCCACTAGATCAGCCTTTTACATTATCAGTCCATTTATGTAACCGGGTCTGTTGGGCCCATATTAGAGGCCCAAACCCGGATTTCCCTATATATACTCCCTTAGGGAGTTCTTGTAAACCTAATTCCTAACTCATTCATACATTATTATTATCATCTTCTCCATACTTTCTTAGCTCAAATATGTCCTAATTATATATGTTTGGATCCCTATAATCCATCAGAAAGCTTCGTGGATAAATACAAAAAACGCTACAAACTTTCACTATTAATCAATTTCGTACTATTTCTAAGAAAAACTTTTCTAAAAATAGAAACCGTTTCAAACACTCTATATCGCTTCCATTAGTCCATTTTTTTTTTTGAAAATTCAACTCTATTAATTCTCATCACTTCTTAACACAAGATCAATACAATCGGGTGGGTGCTCCACATACATACCGACAGACCCAGAACAGACTTCCGTAGCAAAAATATATGGATATCATGATTCGCTGAACGGTGCACATACTTGACACTTGTACTGGTGAAAATATTGTCATTGTTCCACTTCTTTGACGAAAATACCATTATTGTTCATCAACTTCTTTTCTTTCGCTTTGTAGGCTTCAAATGTCTAACATCTCTAAAAAATACTCCCTCCGTTCCAAAAAATTATTCCCACTTTGACTTGACACGAAGATTAAGAAAGTGGAATAAAGTGGAAATGTGTGGTTGTAGTTGTGTAAGAAAAAGGTGAAATGAATGTAAACCACACAAATTATCCAAAAATGGTAAGTGGGAAGAATTTTTTTGGACGGCTCAAAAAGGAAAATGAGAAAAATTTTATGGGACGGAGGGGGTAATACTCCTTCCGGTCCTATATAAAGTTCACACTTTCCTTTTTGGACCACTCCAAAATAAAGTTCACACTTCTCCTCCCTTCCTTATTTGGCAAATTATCTACATCAAAATAGTGCCAAACAGTACCAAATAGTGCTAAACAGTTCCAAACAGTGTCACAACAGTACACTCTACAGTAAAGTCAAATTTATTTCTTTAATTTGTGTGAAGTCAAACACTGAACTTTATTTAGGACCGGGAGGAGTATGAAATACGTAATATCATTATAAGAGCATCTTTAATGACAAAAAGTATTGTATCTCATAAAAATAGAAACCTTTGCAAACACTCTATAACTCTTAGCATCTTTAATGACAAAGGTGGATTGTACCTCATAAAAATAGAAACCTTTGCAAACACTCTATAACTCTTCCATTAGTTCATTATTACTCCCTCCGATGCTAAATAAACTTCACACTTTTCTTTTTGAGTAAGTCCAAAATAAACTTAGAACTTCTATTTTTGGAAAGTTTTTAATATAGAATTACCTTTACACCCTTACTTTATTACCTACTTTACACCTACTTTCTCTATCTCCCACTACACTTTATCTACTTTTTGTAGGGGTATGATGAGAAAGTCAAAACAAAAAGTTTCACTTTCTTGAAATCCTTAAAGTCAAACTAAAAAGATTATTTAGGACCAAGTATTACTTATAGGGTTATTCTCTCAAAACCTGCCCTGCCGTTAGAGTTTAGGCGAGGTCGGGGAAAACCGTTCTAGAACCACACCCAACCACGCGGTTGCTGGTAGTTCAACAAGAGCGTGTTTGCAAAATCTTGTTTTCCCGTCAAAATAATGCTTCTGGTTCAACTTCCGCTTCAGCGGCAGCTTATGCTCGACTGCCGTGGCTTCGTACCCTTGGCCACGCCGCCACTCTCAAAACCTCCGCTTAGTTCACTGTCCTGGAAGATTCCCTTTTATTCCGCTCCTACTTCTTCGTCTTCTTGCTGCCTCACGCCCAAAATTTCACTTCCACTTCGAACTACCCGGTCTCGTGTCTTCTACAATTTGAAGGATTCAGGTGAAATTCGTCTCTCTATGTTACTATATATCCACGCAGACATCCGTTTTTTGTATTGGTGAATGTTAGAAAATAGAAGAGGTTGTTGGTTTTATGAGTAGAATAAGTGATTTTAGTGAGGTGTAATGTAGATGATGTGTTTCAGAGGAGAGCTCTTGTCTCTAGAAAAATAGTATTGTATTGATGTTTCTTGGTTTTGCTTGATATGCAAATGAGTACAATGAGTCCTATTTATAGGAGCTAGAGGATCATTCTAGATCCTTATTAAATGCTATGATTCTAGAGTATTCGACATCTATGTCTAATTACTCTAGATTTTACATAAGAATTCTCTAGTAGAGAATTTTCTAGAATACTTTCTAGCTTTAACTCTCTAGATCATCTCTAGCCTTTTCTACATAGAATATTCTAGATAAATGCATCACTATTTAATACTCCTCCTTGATGCATTTGTCGGTGACTCCAAGCATTCTTCGCAGAAATTGGAATCTGTCTCTTGGCAGGGCCTTCGTGAAAATATCTGCCAATTGTTCTTCTGTTGGGCAGTACTTCATCTCAATATGCTCCTTTGCTTGGACATCTCTCAAGAAGTGATACTTGATATCGATGTGCTTAGTACGATTGTGTTGAATTGGATTTTTAGCCATCACAATAGCTGTCTTGTTGTCACAAAATATTTGAGTCGCAGAACTTTGTAATTCTCCCATGTCTTCTAATATTCTTTTTAGCCATATAGCTTGGCACGCTGCTCCGGCTGCTGCAACATACTCGGCTTCGGCTGAAGATAGTGCAACAGAATCTTGCTTCTTTGATCCCCATAAGAAAATTCCCGAACCCAACTTAAATGCGTAACCGGAGGTGCTTTTCATGTCATCTTGAGATCCATCCCAATCACTGTCGCTATATCCAGTTAGTCGTGAGTCAGGAGTTGTTTTGTACCAAATACCATAATTGATGGTTCCTTGTAGATACCTAAGGAGTCTCTTTGCCGCTCCATAATGAGTCTCAGTTGGACTTTCCATGAACCTCGAGAGCAAACTTGTAGCATACATGATGTCCGGCCTCGTAGCCGTTAAGTAGAGTAGACTCCCAATCAAACTTCGGTAATTGGTTGCGTCCGTCTGCTTTGACCCATCTTCTTTCTTCAATTTTTCATTAGGAACCAGTTGAGTAACGACGGCTTTGCAGTCTTGCATTTTAAACTTCTTTAGCATGTCCTAAATATATTTTTCTTGAGATAAGAATATGCCTTCTTCTTCTTGACTTATCTCCATGCCAAGGAAGTAGTGCATTAATCCCAAGTCACTCATCTCAAAAGTGTTCATCATGTCTCTCTTAAATTCTTCAATTAATTTGGAATTATTTCCCGTGACAATTAAGTCATCAACATATAGAGAGATGATGAGAATGTCAGATTTACCTTGGGATTTGATGTATAGTGTAACCTCGTTCTTACTCCTCCTGAACCCTTGACGGGTGAAGTATCCATCAATCTTGCTATACCACGCTCGTGGAGCTTGTTTGAGCCCGTAAAGCGCTTTCTTTAGACGAAGAACTTTTCCTTCTTCTTTGATGAATCCTTCTGGTTGCTCCACATACACTTCTTCTCGTAGCTCTCCATTTAGAAAGGCTGACTTGACGTCTAGCTGATAAATTTTCCATTTCTTCTGAGCTGCAAGAGCTATGAGTGTTCTTATTGTGTCCATCCAGGCAACTGGTGCAAACGTCTCTGTGTAGTCAACTCCCGGTATTTGAGCATACCCCTTTGCAACCAGCCTTGCCTTATGCTTCTGGATTGAGCCATCGGAGTTCAGTTTTGTTTTATACACCCATTTGACTCCAATAACCTTCTTGTTATGTGGAAGATCTACCATTTCCCAAGTATCATTCTTTTCTATCATTTTGATCTCCTCCTCCATTGCTTTAATCCAAACTTTTTCTTTGGAGGCTTCGGTGTAGCTATATGGCTCCAAGGAGCAAAAGTTGCATGTTTCATAGATGTCAGTAGACTCATATAGGTCTTCTAGAGTTCTTACCCGAAGAGGTGGGGATTCTGGCGAGGAGTCGTGATTTCTTGATGTATTAGCTTCAAAAGAGGATCTTAGAGTAGACGTGGGGCTTTGTTGATCGTGATTTTCCTCTTCTGGTATTTCCTCTAGTTGGACAGTAGTTGTCTTTCTTTCAACTTTTTCTGTCTCCCAATTCCAAGAGGCTTGCTCGTCAAACTCCACATCTCGACTTGTCACCAACTTCTTTGTCTCGAGATTGTAGATTCGATATCCCTTGGATTTGGAGCTATAGCCAAGGAAGATGCCCTTCTCTGTCTTGTCTTCTAATTTGTGCCTTTTAACAGAGGGAACATGAATGTAGCATATGCTTCCGAAGACCTTCAAATGTTTGGCTGAAGGCTTTTGTCCCGACCATGCCTCAATAGGTGTTTTGTTTAAAACCGCCTTAGTTGGACACCGGTTTAGAAGATAGACTTAAGTATATACTGCCTCTGCCCAGAACGTTTTAGGCATTCCTTTTTCAGCTAACATAGACCTTGCCATCTCCATGACTGTGCGGTTCTTCCTTTCGGATACCCCATTTTGTTGTGGAGTGTATGCTACTGTTAGTTGATGCTCTACACCTTCATCTTCACAGAACTTGTCAAATTCTTTTGAGTTGTATTCGGTACCTCGATAGCTTCTCAACTTCTTGATTTGATGACCACTCTGTTTCTCCACGAAGTTCTTGAATCTCTTGAATATTCTAAAGACTTCGGATTTTTCTTGGAAAAAATACACCCATGTCATCCTAGAGTAATCATCGATGAAGAGTATGAAGTACCTGTTTTTCGAAACTGAAAACGTGCGCATTGGACCGCAGACATCGGTGTGGACAAGCTCTAGTATCTGTTTGGCTCTCCATGTCTTTTGTGTTGGAAATGGTTGCCTGTGTTGCTTCCCAACCATACATCCTTCACATACTCCTTCTTTTTCATCCAGTAGAGGCATGTCTCTCATCATCTTCTTTTGGTGTAGTAATCTCAATGCATTGAGATTGAAGTGCCCAAATCTTCGATGCCATAAACTCGTATCACTCAGTTGAGCCACCATTGCCTTTTGTGGATATTGCCATTGAATAGGAAAATTTCTATTATTTCCCATTTTTACTTCAGAAATTTCTTGAATATTATTCTTGTCATAAATTCGGCAAGAATTTTTCTCAAAGTGCAAGGCATATCCACTTTCCATCATTTGGCCAACACTTAGTAGATTTTGTGCAAGGCGTGACACTAGGAGAACGTTTCTAATAAAGCGCGTACCTTTCTTTGTATCTATGACAATGGTACCTTTCCCCTTTGCCTCCACCAAATCGCCATTGCCCATCTTGACCTTTGTCTTGATAGAGGTGTCTAAGTCATGGAAGATGGTCTCGTTGGATGTCATGTGATTGCTGCACCCACTATCGATGTACCACTCTTTTTCTTTTGCTTCTATGGCTGAGTGACATGCGTAGAACATGTACTCCTTCTCCTTAAAATCTTCAAAATAGTTGGCCTGATAGTTTCTTCTATCTCTGCAATCTTTTTCTTCATGCCCGAACCTCTTGCAATTTCTGCATTGTGGCTTTCCTCGATGGTAGCAATCTTTCTCTAAGTGATTAGTCTTCTTGCATATTTTGCATGGTGGAAAGTTCGTCTTCCTCTCCTTGTTGTTAGAATTCCCATCTTTGTGTGGCTTAAAGTTTTCACCATTTCTCGAGTGATTCCTTTTAATGTTGAGTTTAGACTGGAAGGCACTTTCGAATGAACTTTCGTGTCGTCTGTTCAGCCTTCGCTCACGTGCTTCTAGCGACCCCATTAATTCAGTGATGGACATTTTTGATAGATCTTTTGACTCCTCAATAGCCGAAACTACTGGATCATATTTTTCAGGGAGACTGATTAGGACCTTCTGGATTATTCTCTCGTCGGTTATGTTTTCTCCAAGAGTTCTCATTTCGTTGACTATATGTATAACCCGAGAGAAATAATCTTTTGCCATTTCAGAATCTCTCATCTTTAAATTTTCGAGCTCTCTTCTTAAACTTTGTAATTTAATAGTTCTAACTTTCTCATTTCCTTGAAATTCCTCCTTAAGAATATCCCAAGCTTCTTTTGCCGTAGTAGCACGAATTATTCTCGGGAAAATAGTATCACAAACGGATTGTTGAAGAAGATAGAGAGCTCTAGCATTTTGCTGTTTTTGTTTCTTACGTACCTCGGAAGTTGATGCGTCGTCGCTTCCTTTTTCCGGCATGATGATTCCTTCTTCAACAATATACCAGAGATCATGTGATTCTAGGCAAGTCTTCATACGGACACTCCAATAGTCATAGCTTTCTCCATTGAACATCGGAGTTGATACCGAGAAGCTTGATGTCGCCATAATGCCCGCTTATGATCGAACAAGCTCTGATACCACTTGTTAGAAAATAGAAGAGGTTGTTGGTTGTATGAGTAGAATAAGTGATTTTAGTGAGGTGTAATGTAGATGATGTGTTTTAGAGGAGAGCTCTTGTCTCTAGAAAAATAGTATTGTATTGATGTTTCTTGGTTTTGCTTGGTATGCAAATGAGTACAATGAGTCCTATTTATAGGAGCTAGAAGATCATTCTAGATCCTTATTAAATGCTATGATTCTAGAGTATTCTACATCTATGTCTAATTACTCTAGATTTTACATAAGAATTCTCTAGTAGAGAATTTTCTAGAATACTTTCTAGCTTTAACTCTCTAGATCATCTCTAACCTTTTCTACATAGAATATTCTAGATAAATGCATCACTATTTAATAGTGAACCACGAGTTTGTTATGCTCTTCAATTTTTTGTTAAAGAATTCATTATTTTATCCAGATATTACATCAAAGCTGGAGTTTGGGAACCCCATTGAGAAGAATAAACCAGAGAAGCGTGTGAATGGAATTTTCTGGATTCTACTCATAAACCTCGGGATATTCGTTGCAGATCACATTTTCCAGGTGTTTTAAACTTTTTACATCATATACTTTGCTGTCTTCTAAATTTAACTGGATTAAACAGTTTTAGTCGTTGTTTAGAACTGTAGATATGGTATTTGGTTTTCTGATGATATCTCATTATATTTGAGCCCTGCTTAATCTTAAAGCTAATTTTGTCCAGGTTCAGGGCATTAAAACATTGTATTTATACCATAATCATCCTTCTTGGTACCAGTTTGTGACTGCCACATTCTGTCATTTTAACTGGTAAGAAACTTTCTCCTTAGGAATGCACAAGAATGATTATGAAAGTATAAACTAGCGTACCTGGCAGTTGCTTTAGCCTACTTCTAATCCCTCTTCCATATTGTTTGACTTATTTCACAAATTGTAATCACATAACAGGAACCATTTATCAAGCAACCTCTTCTTCTTGTATATTTTTGGTGAGGCACCTTACTTGATCAATGACAAAGTGCTACTGAGTATTTTGTAATGTTCAGTGTCAAGTAATTTTTGTTTTAAGGAAAACTCGTCGAAGAGGAAGAAGGAAACCTTGCATTATGGTTTTCTTATCTGTTAACTGGGGCTGGGGCAAACCTTGTTTCATGGCTAGTTCTTCCTAGAAATGCAGTTTCTATTGGGGCATCTGGTGCTGTGTATGGACTGTTCGCAATTAGTGTACTTGTTAAGGTGGTTATCATATCATATTTTGTATGATTCTCTTAATTTGAATTATTATATAATAACTTTATCCCTGGGAGCATGGAAATTTCTGATCCTCATATTCTTTCCTCCTTGAACAGATTTCTTGGGACTGGAGGAGGATTCTTGAAACCCTTATCTTGGGTCAGTTTGTTATGGAAAGGGTATTGAATTCATTTCTGTCAATTAAACTGAAACAACCTCTGCATGATCATCTTTAGCTCATATATAATTTTAAAGGTATAATATTCAGGTTGAATCAGATTTGACCTTAAGGTTCTCAGTGTAGCACAAGAGTCGATTGCAAGCTATCACAAAGCCTTACTTGCAAAACAATTAGATAACTGCAACAGATGACACCTTAAATCTTAAATCAAGTGGCCTGTGCCTAGGTATGTGTTAATTGGGCTTAGGCAGGATCTAAGTGGAGTTAGGTATGGTCTAAGAGGGGAAAAACACAGGGCGACCAATGACAGCTTGGTGCGAAGGTGAGTGAGGATTAATTGGTATTGGACTGGGACTTTTATAACATTTTTAGGTTAGGTACAATTGATCCCAGAATGCGTTATGCCCCTCACCTAGCAAACTCTGGATGAATGAAAACATGACATTCCTACTAGGAGTGGACAAAAGAATAAACCAATTTCCCAATAATCAATCTAACCAATGGAGCCCAACATAACACAAAACTATATAGGTATTACTAAATAATTACAAATGTGTTTTTATACTAACTAAAAAAATTTATGTTTTCGTTTGCATGGACGATATTTAACTATTTATGGTTTTTGCGATTGGTTGATGGGTAATTAAATCCAATTCACGAGTTCATTATCTTATTAAGTCTTTAGTTTTGTTAACTTTATTATGGAAAAATTCACATTAATAATCCCAATTATCAATAGTCTTCTCATATTAATCTCAATTATTAGTAATTTTAAAAATAATCTAAATTATAGTTGGTATCTTCCCAAAATAAACCAGTGACCTGCATAAACCAATTCAGCACGTCACCTGGACATGTGTTCTATTTTTATTGGTTTACATTTTCTTTTGTTTTTCCTTTTCTTTTCCTTCTTTCTTCATCGCCTTTTTCACTGATGTTTGGGGGGCGTATGAGTGTTTTAGGCATTCTTTGTTCATGGAGGAAAGGGTTTGTTATGGAAAGGGCATTGAATTCATTTCTGTCAATTTCCGGTCCTTGTTCAATCGTCTCCATTAAGGCCAGCCGCCAGCTGTAGATCTCTGATGGTCGACCATCTGTTCCAGTGGCTCTTGGATGCCGGCTGTCCGTCCGTCTTCATGTCGATACGTCATCAATCCCACTTTTTCTTTGACACCGTCCCCCGTCCATCCCAACTGTTCACTGTAGCCATCCGCCCATTCATCTTAGCTGGTTTGATCCACACCGTATCATTCGTCTGTCGTCCAATCATATGAGTTTCATCATCGACTACTACGAATAATGTCATTTGAGTTGGATTGACCAAATTGAACCTTCTAAATATGAAATTAAAAGCATGAACTACAAATTTGAGGTGTAAATTCAAGAACATATGGAATGTAGGAAGGGAGATTTTCCATAGGCGGAGGGAGAACAAAAAGAGAAATTAAAATAAAAGTAAGAGGATAAATCTGACTGAGAGACGGAGGAAGCAGGGGGAGTAAAGAAAGTCCAGCAACGATGAAGAACGGGCTGTTCAGCTTTTTTTAATTTTGTTTTTATTTTGTTTACCTGTCTAGTAGGTTATAGGTAACCTGGATCAACCTGGATCAATATTTAGGATTAGTATTACAAGACCCCTAATAGTTGGGAGTATTCATGTGAATTTTTCCTTTTGTTATTTATATTATTATTTATATGTGAATTATGAACTGATCCAATCCTATCCAACCCAACCTGTATGGTCAAAATCAATGTTCGCCTGGTTTATAAAACTTTCAACCGAGCTAAATTGGGTTAGTTGACAAATTTCTCTAATCCGTCAGCACCCCTAATTCTTATTGTGTGGTTAAGGTGATGGAAGCTGCCCAAGCTTCAACAATATTGCCAGGCAGTTTTAGTGGAAGTTATGCCCTACAGAGCATAAATCACATTGCACACCTATCAGGTGCATTAATTGGTGTAGCTTTAATATGGCTTCTAAGTCGAATACCTTCACAACCATCTGAAACAAACAAGGAGAAGAACATGTGCTGACTATTTCTTAAAGGCTGGCTTTGCATAGATGGGTATGATGCTTGTTGACTCCTGCATTTCTCATCCCTTGCTGTCTCCCTCATTTCATAAATTCTGGATCAGTAATGCTCATTGCTCAATATCGGGATTCGGGACAGGCAAAGACATTACTAATATGAATATCATGTTGAAAACCATGGATCCATAGCAGTCAGGTCTTTTCCTTTTTGATGTGGAGTTGTAGTGCTCACCAATGTCTAGGTAAGCTGAAAATAGATTTGGAGGTTACAAAATGAAATCTATGTTATCTTTAGGATTGTATCTTTTGTGTTGAACATTAAACACTTGTTTAAACGTTGTGTTTGGTGTTGGACCTACATCAATTAAAATGATTTCTCAATGCGGCGTAGAAAAGTGTTGTTTGTGATACTATGTTAATTCTAATTGTATCACTGTTCATTTAAAATGAAATTTACTTGTATGAACTGGTCTGGGTGACGGATTGTACTCTATAAGTTTAATATGCTTGGATCTCGCTTGAACTTGTCTCTCGTGTTATTTGCATTTTATTACTATCAAAATCTGTTCTATTATGTTTTGGTCTATTAAAATCTAGTTTGATTTGGTCTAATTAGTAAGGGCAATTAATCGAAGTGAACAATTCCTTATTTCACAAAAAAAAGCATCCTTTGAAAGCTGTGATAAAGTTAATCTATGTTTTGTGCAACTCTTAAATAACATCTATGGTTTTCAATTCAAGATGATGAGGACCTATCTGGCTCCGTCCTCAATTATGTTGTTTGTCCATCTTAGGTCTAGTTCTCTATGGACGTATCATTACTATTCCCTCGTTATCTTGCCTTGAAGTTTTTTATGTTTTTATATATCTCTAAGTAATTAGAGCTTGAAGATGGATATTTGCCAATTTGGATTTGTTTTTGTGTGTTTTACCTTGTTCAGGAGCTTTTCAATCCATCTGCACGCTTAGCAACCAACCAGAAATCTTAGTTGGATTGATTCATGTGAGAATCAGAGATTTCCGTGGACATGAATAGATGGATCTAAATATAAAATATCGTTTTTGAATGTAAAATAATGAATGTTATTTAAAAGTTTGTACACTAGATTATTTTTGCCACCTCATTTGAATCTTTGAATGTTAGAGACTCAGTGCATAAGCGATGTTTAAACTTATTTAAAGGAAAAATTGAGAATAAAACCCCCAGCTATTTGTTCCTTTATGGGACATCCGATAAAATTGGAATGATTCCGAATAATCCCAGCTATTTTAAAATGTAAAAAAAATAAAGCAAAGACTATTGAAACCTTTTCAACTATCAAGAAGTATACATAGTTATTTTCACAATAACTATGTATTTTTGAAGACTTTGTTTATCCACAAAAAAATTAAGATAAAAAATCAATCGGGACGGTAGTCAAATTAAATTTTGAAGATAACTGCGTCAAAATATACATACAGTTATTTTCAAAAATTTATTTGATTATCTTTCTGAGAATTTTTAGCTAAATATTTTTGTAGATAAACTAGACTTGATGAGAAACATGCTAAAAATTTTTATCAAAAAACTCCACCGGGAGTTTTCCGGTGGAGTTTTTTGATGAAATTTTTTGACAGATCTTTTTTGGATGACGCCGTTTGGGGCGGTTTCCGGTGGAGTTTTTTGATGAAATTTTTTGACAGATCTTTTTTCCATATACACAAATATGCGTGTTACGTACTTACGAATGCAATGCATTTTTTCACTGTATGTATGTATACGTATATATCCTGAGCAGGGCCGGCCATAGGGGGAGTTACCCTAGACAAGTGTCTAGGGCCTCCAAATTTTAGGGGCCTCTAATTTATAAAATAAGCTTATTAATATTATTTAAGAGACTTTGTCCGGCCGTCAACATTTGGGATAGTTTCCTTTGTAATTTTTTGATAATTTTTTTTAGGATCTTATTCATTATGTCTAGTTTACTCATACCAAATTTCACCTAAAAATTCAATCGGGAAGACATTCAAATGAATTCTTGAAGATAACTGCGCAGTTAAAAGCACAGTTATCTTCAAGAATTATTTGAATGCCTTCCATGTTGAATTGTTAGCTGAAATTTTGTATAAGTAAACAAGACTTAATGGATAAGATTCTCAAAAAATTTCATCAAAAAATTCCACCGGGAACTGCCCCAAATGACGATGGCGGGACAAAGTCTCTTATACAAGGGTTTATTTGACCTTTTTGGTTAGTATGTGGGCTTATTTGCTCATTTTTCCTTTTTTTTCTTTGTTGGCTAGGGCAGTAGGGCTAGAGATTTAGGATAATGAGTATTCTAAATATATTTGAATGTTTATTGAATAATTGAAATTGTAATTTGTTATTTTGATTGATCGAAATATTGAACATACTTATAATTTTTTATATTTGATTAAATTTAGTGAATTAAATTTATATCTATGAACCATTAACTTATATTTAGTGATAGTATTATTTTGAATGAAATTTTATGTTTTGTGATGATTTGAAAACAAAATATGAATCAAGATGTACAAAGACAAAGAAAAAAATTAAGAAATGATTTGGTCATGAAATCACTTTCCGGCTCTATCGATCGTTATGTTGTATGTAAGCACAAAACCTTCTCCCTCTAGGGCTCTTTGTATTTTTCATCAACTTTGATCTTCTGATTTCGAAGAATATTCTCACTGTGTTAATAGTATATGATGTATTTTATATGTAATTTACTTATATTTAATTGTTATTTTTTATATCATTGGGTTAAATAAAACATATTTAAAACAAAATTTCTACATGACCGTCTAGAACCTCATAATTGCTCTAGCCGGCCCTGATCCCGAGAGCAAAAATTTCAGAAACAAAATTGTAGTTTCTGATACGTATTCACCCTTTTATAGAGTCAGCCTTAAAGTGTATTTGATCTAATTTTCAGTTTGATTTCAAAACATGTTGTGCATTAAAGAATTTTCTATGATGAAATGATGTTTTACATTATCAAGTTTGCCTGTAACCTGGGGCCAAAAAAATCCTTCATGGCGATCAAAATTCCATGAGTAGGGTCACCCTATAGTGATCATATGGACAAAATAAGGTGAAATAGACTTTACGCATTGAATTATGACCGCCATGTGTGATTTTTTTTGTCGGAAATTTGAATAATATTGCAAGTTGAAACATTTATGTATAGTTAAAGTACTGTTTTGATTCATTTAAGAGTTAAAATACCAAAATACAACAATATCAATAGTTAAAGTTAGGGATGGGTCGGAGAAACCGGAAAAAAAAAAACCGAATCGAAAAAACCCGAACCGCAACCAAAATAACCGAACCGCAAGAAAACCGAATCGAACTCAAAAAATCGAACCGTAGTTATTTGGTTTCGATTGAGTTTTCACATCTCAAAACCGAACTGAACTGAATAAATCGAATTGTTTAAAACTTGTTATTTTATTTATTAATCATTAATTATAATATTTTGTTGAGTTCTTAATTTTTAATTCTAGAAAATTAATGTTTGATACTCGATTTATTATGATTTGCAAGATATTGGCATTTAATATTTATGGTTTAATTAAGTGAAACACTTATACATACACTTTAGTCAATAGCTATGATCCTAATGTGTTGATATTTTTAAATCGTAATTTACATTTTGCTTGTTGTTGCATGACAATGATATTTTGTTGATGTATTATATGTCATGTATGTTTGCTATCACATAATTTTTTATATTAAATAAATATGTATTAATATAAATTATACTTTGAACAACATAGTAGTAAACATGAAACTTTAGAACATAAATATCTTTGTCTAAAATTTACTAATAAAATTTTAACTTGCGAATACACCGTATATAATTCACAAAGAAACTCACATGTTTAATTAATTTAGAAAATGTTTAAACTGGTATACACATACTCTCTAATTCATTGCTTGGAAGTGCATTTGTTTGTTTTCTTTTTTAATTATGTATGATTTTGAATTGCATTACTATTAATAATAGTTTGATGTAGTTTATTTTTGAAAAAACTATCAAATAAGGATGTTTTTACTTGGATTGTAATTTGCTGGTCTGGTCTGGTCTGAACTGGTCTGGTCTGGTTTCTTTATATTTTTATAACTATCCAAGTCTGATCTGAACTGGTCTGGTTTGATCAGGTCTGATCTGGTCTGGTCCGGGAGGAATTACATTCAAGGTAAAAACATCCTAAGTCCCCGTACTATATTAGAAAAGTTAATTAGCCCTTTGAACTTTGAAAACACCCAATTAAACCCATGAACTTTTACAAAACGTTCAATTGAGGTGTTTTAGCAGGTCAAGAACCGGTTTTCCGTTAACGGTTCATGTGGCGGCAACGCGGCAGGCCGCATAACAATTACTCCCTCCGTTCCTATTAAAACTTCTAAATAGGTTTGACACACAATTTAAGATAGTGGTATTGTGTGGTGAAGAGTTGTACAGAGGAGAGAAATACGTAAGAAATGTTGTGAACCACAATATCTTTACTAAAAAGGGAAAATGAAAGTTTTAATTGGAATGGACGAAAAGGAAAGTTGGAAATTTATTTAGGAAGGGAGGGAGTACTTTAATTTTCTCCTTTTTATTTTCCTTTTTTATTTCTACTAGTATTTCCTTTTCTTTTTCCTTGTTCCCCTCTTCCCGGATTTTACCATCGTCCCCAATCCTCTACCCGGAATTCGCCATCTGCCATCGTATCCAAAGTCCTGAGCTAAACATGGCTCTTCTTGTTAGGACCTCCGACGAACTTTGGCAAAGGGCGGAAACTCAGACGAGGGCGACTGCTCTCCTTTATGCGAACAGGAAGAGGCTCAACGGTGCTAGTTCAGATCGCAGCGATTCATCCTTGTTGTTTTAGGCTCAAATCGACAAGCTAATTGAGATCCTCCGATACCAATTTTTTTTGTCTTGGTTTTGGTTCCTCAGATCTACTTGTTGGCTTTGTCGAGAGCCCAGGGGGACTTTTCCGCCGAATCGAAGGAACAGAGCAAACACGACTGTTCTTGCTATAATATCCGACGAACTCCATCAGCAACTCCGGCGATGAAAACCTCTCTTCTCTATGCGAATGAAAAAAACAGAAACAAAGAAACCAAGATAGAAAGAAATAAAGAAGGAAAGGAAAAATGAAAAACAAACGGAAAGAGGAGTGACGAAGGGGAAGTTCAGGTCCCTGGGAAGATAGATGCGGACGTGAGGAGACGGAAAACCAGAGAAGAAAAGGAAGGAGAAAAAAGAAACGAAGAAAAATAAGGGAAAAAGAAAATGACCACATGTGGCCTGCCACGTGGCTGCCACGTGAGCAGTTAAACGGAAAACTCAAAACCGGTTCTTGCTAAAAACCCCTCAATTGAACTTTTCGTAAAAGTTTAGGGTTTAATCGGGCCTTTTCCAAGTACAAAGTCTAATTGAATTTTCTGATATAGTGCATGAGCTTATTTGATATTCCATCCGTCCCTGAATTATCTTCAAATTTTCCTTTTTCGTCCGTCACAAAATTATCTCCTCCTTTCCTTTTTTGACAAAGAATTTGTGGTTCACAATTATTCTTACACATTCTTACACATTTCTCTCTCCTCTGCACAACTCTCCACCACACAAAACTCACTGTCTTAATTAGTGTGCCCAGCCGAAATGGGAGAAAAAACAGGGACAGAGGGAGTAGTTTCTTTTTTGTTTTTGTTTTTTCAATTACTACTCCCTCTGTTCCGCAATGAACTTCTCACTTTCATTTTTTGGATGTCCCAAAATAAGTTCTCATTTCCCTAGATTACAAATTAATCTACATCAAAATAGTGTCAAACAGTGCAAAACAGTGATAAACAATGTCGAAATAGTGCAAAACAGTGCCAAACAGTGGCGAAACAGTGTCAACACAGTAAAATTTATCTCATGATAAATTTATTTCTTTAATATGTGTGTAGATCAAACTGTGAAGTTGAGTATTTTTCTAATCAACAAAAATATTTTGATAAAACCGGAAAAACCAAAATGGAACCGTACTTTTTACTTTGGTTTGGACATTTGATTTTAGGTAAAAATCCAATCCTCTGAACCGAACCGATAAAGTATCATGCATTTCACTCGTCATCATCTCTACCTGTCCCTGCAAAAACCCTTCTACCTCCATTTGATATCCTACCCGGCCTGATGCTTATCAATCATTTGCCGAAGCTCCATCTCCAGTTATCCATGCTCGCTTCCAAACCCAAACTCCTTATCACACCCACCTTCTCACCCAAATCCGTATCCGGCCCGATCGCCAACTTCTCCACCGCTGCTCTTCTTCAAGCCCCCAACATCGTCGGTTCAAATGAGACTAGCCCGCTCGAAATCTCACCTGGAAAGCTCTTTTTTCCGCCGGAAACCGATGTCTCCGTAGAAACCGCGTCGTTTGGTTCCCGGATCCTCAAGGGCTCTAACATAGTGCTCAGCAAGTATGCAGGGGATGCGCAGGTAGAGCAGGCGGAGTTTGTGAAAAGTAGTGTGAATACTGGGGACTGTCCGGCCGATGGGTTGCCGGAATTTGCGCTAGTTGGGAGGTCTAATGTGGGGAAATCATCACTGCTTAACTCTATTGTTAGGCGTAAGAAGCTTGCTCTTACTTCCAAGAAACCTGGTATGTTCTCCAGTATAGTATGATTTTTTTGTCTTAACTTCAAAGAATGAAAGGAAATCTTGGGTTTGCTTGGCCATCAGTTTTAACTGTCGTGTTTATTGCTGTGTAATTTCCAATAGACCTCAAATTTGGTTTCTTGATACCCTAAGGAACTAAGGGCTAGATGTAGAAAATGTTTTCTCATTGCAAATAATAAAAATATCGGCGTACTGACAATGTATAGTTTGCCATTTGAAGTCGATTTGAATAACTCTGGCTGAACCGTAGTCTAAAACTTCAAATCGATTATTGCATGCCTAAAACCTCTAAAGTTTAAGTAGAAATCAAAGGGAAAGGAAGAACTCATTTGGAGTGGCTTTTGGCCTAAAGTCCTAATTTTAAAAATCTTTACACCTACGTGTTTACATGTCAATTGTTGTTCTCTTTTACTGACCATCCAAACAGTTCATTCTAATATTGTGTATAGCATTCATATAAGTTATTTATAATTTGGCTGTTCAACAAGTTGAATTGGGAACCGGATCAATCCGAAATGAACCAGGTCAAACTGGGAGCCCCTTCAACAGTTCAACCGAGTCTACATAACAATTTTTACAATAATTAATTTTTAATATTTTTTCTTAACTTGGGATGAATTAAATAGAGAGTGTGTATGTATTATATATAAATTTGTAAATATTAAAATCACAATTTTGAGGACATCAACGAGATGATAGATTAATTTTTTGTGTATTACTCGTGTTTAACTATTTCATATGAACCACTGGAAATGTATTTTCACAGAAAGCAGTTGAATCAAAGGTTAAACCATTCCTTATAAGCTCCAATGGTTTGGTCACTTGGTCCGGGTTTTTAAACACAGATTTATGTATCACCTCTAGAAAATATAGGTATGCCACGTAATCTCATCCTGTTGTTAGTTAGAATAAGAAATAATAATGCTACGAAGAAAAAGTGTACCCAACATGATTATTTTCCTGAATCTTCTAACTAAGCTTCTTATTGTCATGAATTTTGTTCAAGGTATATATTCTTCACACTGTTATTGCTCTTAGGTTTTTGTGGAGGAAATAAATAGCCTAACCCTTGTGAAATTGTTATTGTCTACACTTGCAGGCAAGACACAATGCATCAACCATTTCCGGATAAATGGTAGCTGGCATCTTGTTGATTTGCCTGGATATGGGTAAAGAGTTTACTGTTTTATAAATGGACGTATTGTTAGTTATTGGAATGTTTTATAGTACTTCCTTTTCATCCATTTTGACGTTGGGTTGAGGGAGTGAGTTGTTAAGATTTAGGATTCCATTCTAAAGCGGACCTTATAGTACAACTCATATCATATTAAGACATGGGGGTTTATCCTAAAAGGTGCTCCTAATAGGAGTAATAGGAGGAGTCATTCAAGGTCTTATACGTTGGCTTGTTATTTTATATGTAGATGTTTTATTTACTGGTTTGTTATTTCATATGTAGCCAATGTAGAACAAACTCTTTAACATGAATTAATTGAATACCAAATTCTTTTAAACAAGGTATGCTTCAGCACCACACGAAGTCCGTAAAGATTGGGAAAAGTTCACGAAAGACTACTTTCTGAACCGGTCAACTCTTGTCTCTGTATTCCTTCTCATAGATGCTAGCATCCCTGCCAAAAAGATTGACCTTGAATATGCAAGTTGGCTTGGGAAGAACCAGGTTCCATTTCAATTCAACTATTTTATGTTTTGATGCACAATCGGGGATGGCAGTGGGTCAGGTTAGTGTGAATCCTATCTGCTTGGACCCTATGTGATTTCTTGGGTAGGTAGGAATCAGGTATGACTGTATGAGGCGGGTTAAGGTAGGGAGAAAGCTTGGGTACCTATTACTGCCAACAACAACAACAATATTACCCCAGTGCCGCAAAGGCTCCCATCTACAATGGTGTAAGGTGGGGTCGGATGTACACAACCTTAATAGTGCATAGACTGTTTCTGGAGAACCATGATGAAAATCATGTCGAAAATTACATGGACTGACAACTGTTTCATAATAAAGAAACACAGTCAGTATAGTGAGTCATTTTGCTTTACTCCATCATATTCCCAAGCCAAAAAAATAGCGATTCTTTGGCTCCATTGGAAATGATGGAACATATGTGTATATTCTTTTATGCTAAGTTATTGTAATATACAGAGCATATTTCTCTGTAGTACACAAATATGTATTTGGTGTATACTTTTACTTGTCTGTTAATATAGAGTACATGTTATGAGTAATACATGTTAATACTTCGTATACATTTGAATTTATGAACGTGTTTTGAGTTGAATTTGGGTATAAATAATTTGGGTTTTGCTAAATGGGCAGTACCTCACCCACTGCCATCCCTAGGAGAGGGTTGGTTCTCAACTTCCCATCATTTCTTGCTCGAGTACTAGTTGTCTTGTTCGACTCTTTGTGGCCTACATATTCTTTTGATGGCTCTAGCATCTCATATGTTAACGATACATATAAAACTGTTTTTTTGCGTGTTTGTAGATTCCAATGACATTAGTTTTTACCAAATGTGATAAGCGGAAGAAGAACAAAAATGGAGGGAAAAGACCCGAAGATAATGTCCAAGATTTTCAAGAGCTAATACAAGACTTCTTCCAAACGTCTCCACCTTGGATTATGACAAGCAGTGTAACAAACCAAGGCCGGGATGAGATATTGTTACACATGTCTCAACTACGAAATTATTGGCTCAAGCATTGAGTTTCAATCACCTGGCTCGGCAGATATGGCGTTTCAAAGCAACTAGTCATAAGTGATTCGCTTCATCACTTCTTCCCTTGAAATTCATATGATGATATGATGCAGTTGCTCATAAACATGGGACAGTTTGGTTCAGCGAAGGAAATCTACCATCAAACATCCAGCACAACCCTCTACTTTCCAACTTTCAAGATTGTGCAGGCTTTCAGCATCTGATTCTTTCAAGGAAAAGTGTCTTTGCAAGGTCACAACGTGTAAGTGTATTCATATAAAAATGCTATCTTTGCATCGTGTAAGGACTTCGAGTGTGTATTTGTATTTCATTTTGCTGTCTTATAATTCGGAAGACATGTTTTTCCCCACATGTTTCAACATCTTACGTGTTCATGCTGTGTTGGGACCACCTGTGGAGGCAGCTGCTGCCGACAATAGTAATAGTTTTACAGCAATAGTCAATGGCAATTGGCAGTGGTGGTGATCCAAAGGTGGCCCCTAATCGCGGTGCTTATAGACAATCTATTGGTAATACTTTTGCCATTAGATTGATCATTGATCTGACATAAATATTATGTAGTACTACCTTTGTCCCACAACATTGAGACATGAAGTGGAGGTGTATTTGGTAAGAAAAATGAGTTTACGTGGTTGATATTGAATTGATAAAGTAAGAATAGAAAAAATATTTTAGAACCACACAAACTTTACTAAATTAGATATGAAACAATCTTAGTGAGACGGAATGAAAAGGAAATATGAAACAATCTTAGTGGGACGAAGGGAGTAACATTTATTACATTCTTTGATAAGTTTTGATTGTGTAGAAACAGTTTACCATGTAAAATATTTTGGCCATTAGATTCATGATCAACAGTGATCTTATGCTCATTCCTCTCTTGGGACTCCTAGAAGATGCAGTATGATTTTGGCACGAGTATTAAGAAAGCAAAGGAATTCTGCCATTAAGATGCGGTATGATTTTTCCATAATAATTTATACCTTCAATTGAAAAAGTAAGAAAATATATTAAGATTCCCAAAAAAGGAAAAACATGACATTATAGATAAATTGATAAAATATGAAGGTATTTAAATACGTTCCATAAAAGGTATCTATGGATATTAGTATTTAAATACGTTCCATGTTTTGTGTTTGAAGCACAGAGAATTAATTCAGGAGATTGGATGGCTTGAACTGACCAACATACAATAGCCCCTACCTAACAAACGGAATTAACCACTTAATTAATTGTGTGTATAAATAAACAACAAAATCCCTCTGGGAAAAGGCAGGCTATCTCCTTCCTTCTCCTTCCTCCATTTTCTCAATATTGTTGGCCGGTAAACCACCGGCGACCGCCACCCACCATTTTCCAGACATCGCAGGTAAACCACACGGTGGGAACTGGGAAGATGTCGAATATCATTCATAAGTTGGAGGAGAAGCTCCACCACGTGCATGGGCGGCATAAGCACCAGCAGGATGATGATCATCATCATGCGCATGGAGGTGTAGGAGGAGAGGAGCATAAGAAAGGAGGATGCCTCACAGAAAAGATAAAAAACAAGATTGATAAGGTTAAGCATATAGCCAACAAGAAGCACAAAGATGGAAAACACCATGAAGAAGATTATTCATAACTTATAGCAACACTGAGATGAACTCCAAAGCTTTGAATAAATGTTCTCATCAGTTATTTTAGCTTCGCTTGGTACATTGTATGAATCCTTGTTGCTTAACTTATATTTCATGATGACTCTTTTTGTGTGAAAAACTCTGAATTCGAGCTTATCAGTCCTAAAATAGGAATAAAACTGGACATTTCCCTATTCACATTTTGACGACATTTTAATCCCGTGTGAGGCAATTTTTTTATTTAATGTAAGTTTTTTTAGTTAATTACTCAAAGAAGAGTAAAACAGACGAACCTTCAAAATGAGTTCTACTTTTCTGTGCATCCATACCGAAGTAAAAGGCAATAAAATGTCAAAAATGCTCTTTTGAGTGGTTGACTTGAAATTGCAACCCTATCCGATTCCTAAGATTGCTTCTACTCCTTCGGGGAGCAGAAACAGAAATTGGAGTGTTTAGGTGAAAGTGCATAAGTACTTATGGTGTCCTAATTTACTCCTAGAATCAATTTTTCTAGAAGTTGGGGGAGAACAACTTCTGAAAAATGATTCTACTTCTGCTTTAAAAAAGAAGCAGAAGCAGAATCATTTCCAAACACCCCTAAATTGGGAACATACGTGGGGACGTAGACATGACGGGGGTGTAGGGGTCCGGTAATAAACTAAAAGCACTATGTCAAAATATTTAAATGACTATTAGTTCGAACATAATGATTAACCTTCATTAAAATTCATAACAATGTTTTTAAGGGTGTCCCAAGATAGATTTTATGCCCGCCAAACATGCACATTGAAGGATTTTTAAACGTTCTAAATTAATGGATTTTAGAGACTTCTTCAGATTCCATTAGATTTTATGGAATTTTACGTCTTGTAGATTTCAAAAGATTCCAAAGAAAAATAGCCTCCTGCAAGTCAAGCCAAATGGTAAGCCGTTTTTAGTCATCTTCATCGCAAAAGAGCAGCAGTCTAGTGAAACCAGTTCGGAGGAAATTAACGGCGACGGTTTAGTTCGGCCACTCCATCGAAATTCTCTGGCAGCGATTCAGCCTCAGGCGGAATCAGCAGCACCGGTGTATGAGGGCAACAACAAGAATGGCCCTCCCAAGCTCCAAACAACAAGCTCCTTCTCTCCAGCGAGTGAAACCAAGATAAAGAAATAGGTTTTTCATCCAAAAAAAAAGATAAAGAAATAGGAGTTCATGTGATGAAGAATAACTTGGACAAAGCTACGACTTCATTCTCAAATCCTAGAGGGGGAAAGTGAGAATGTTGCTAGAATGTGTTGAGAATATTTTATGGTGTACAATCTAGTTAAATATCTTTGTATTTGTGTAGTGATTAATTAAATGTGCAATATGAGCCACAAATGTATATCAGCTCGTTAGCTTCTTTGTAACTCATAAGTTAGCCATCATCACCTATAAAAGGAGGCTAACTTACGGGAAACCTAACGATTGAGACTTTAGAGAATAGAGGTGCAGAGATAGAGAGATTAGGGTTTGCCGCTGCTCTCCTTCTCGAGGGAGAGCAGCGGCCATTATCACGGTTTACCAGATTCGTTGAATATCTCATATCTTTCTATCTGCTTCTTCTTCTTCTTTATCTGCTATGATTGTGTGATTGTTAGTATATTGGGTCTATCAATTGGTATCAGAGCTGAGGCGTGAAACAGGTTAAATCTATCTGCGATTTTTTGGATCTAACGAAGAACTGCTCTTCTTTTCTTCTCTTTTTCTTCAATATAGAGTTTTGCTCCTGTAATCTTGTTTGTGAACGAAAATCTGTAAAAATTATACTGTTGGATTTTAGTTGGGCCATAGGAAGGGCATAGGGTTGACCCGTTGGTCAAACGAGACCCAATTACCAGTATTGGTAATTTATCAGATAACAGTCCGAAATGAATTTCAGAGACTTCTAAATTAAAGATGAGGAAAGTATGTTCATTCTAGGAGTCCATAATGATGGAGAACACCTAATATATTTTATTTGACCCGATAAAATAAAATATAATTAAAACAGTCCGAAAAATACAATTTTCGGGACCGATTGTACACCTCGGGAGTTAAAGGGTTGAGCTCCCACATGTGTGGGGGCCAACCCACGTTTTTTGGTCACAAAAGCCAATGGTTGGCTGGCTGGAATGAGAGGAAGATGGGTGAGAGCGGGTGAGGTGAAGGGGATGACATCTAAAGGACATGAGGTGGACCTCCCATCCACACTCATTTGTCCAATGAGACAAAAGGACCATTCCTACTCCCCTATCCCTCTCATTTTCGACCAAGCCTCTCAAGGGAAGAGAAAAACCTCTGCAAAAACTCCATTCCTTCATAGCCAAGTGAGCTCAAGAAGACAAAGTCCAAGGAGGAAGACTTAAGGAAGAAAAAGTGAGGAAAAAGTGTGGTGATTAAGGTAATGACCTTATATTAACTTTTCCTCTACCCTTTAGCTACCATATGGATTATACATCATATGAGGAACCCCTAGGCTTGTTCTACATGTTTAGAAATGTAGAATGAGGGGTTGGAAGGTAGTTCTAAGAACAAGAACGGACTTAGAAGCCGAAATGACCGATTCGCCGGAAAATAACCTTTTAGAGGTTATTTGTATTGATATTAGTTTTGTGATGATAAAACCATGTTAGGAGCATAAATAAAGTGTTTCTAGAGTTCGCCGGAGTTTCGCCGGAGTTTCGTCGGAGTTTCACCAGAGTCCAACCGAGAAACGTAGAACGCACTAAAGCTCATTTAAGGTGAGTGGATGGTTTAATGTCTTGTAACTTTTGGGTTAAGCTTTTGATTACCTAAGTAAATGTTATATGTGTTCATAAATATGTTTAAATGAGATTAAACATGTGATAAAAAAAGAGTAAACATGTGATTTGCTAAGGCTTGTATGAAATGAACTATTGAGTTATGCATGATTTGTGATATGAAAGCGTTTATAAAGACATATGTGACATGTTTAGAGATAAATGGTGCATAATATGGTTGTTTATAACTTAATACATGTTGTGATTAAGTTCGACACATTTTGGATTTGAAATAACGGGTCAACTGGGAGTTGACCGGTTGTCCAAGGGCAACCGGCGCCGGTATTGCCTAGAACCGGCGTCGGTTTGAGCGGGTTTAGCCGACCCATATTATTTGACTACGAACCGGCACCGGTCAGGTTTGAACCGGCACATGTTTGGTCTTATATTGCCCATACGTTGATTTTAAATGCATGAATTGCATGGATAATTTGCTTAGGCCTTAAGACTTGGTTTAGTCTTGTTTCTTGATAATGATAGAGACCCTATCTAGTATGATATGTGGTAGATCATAGGTCGGGTGGAGTACCCAAGGATCGGGCGGTATCCTCAAAACTCGGTTATGTCGGGTGGAGTACCCAAGGATCAGGCGGTATCCTCAAAACTCGGTTATGTCGGGTGGAGTACCCAAGGATCGGGCGGTATCCTCAAAACTCGGTTATATAGGGTGGAGTACCCAAGGATCGGGCGGTAACCTCAAAACTCGGTTACATAAGGTGGAGTACCTAAGGATCAGGAGGTATCCTCAAAACTCATAGATTACTGTTTAGTAATTCAGGACCGGGCGATGTCCTTATGATTATTTGATTTGGACAGGATGAATCCTATACACTCATTGGTCTATGGGTGAGTTGGGGTTTTAAGTCAAGGACATTGACTACTACTATTGTTCCCAAATAAACAATGACCTACGGGTCGGGTATTTCCAAGTCTATATAAGTACTGATATGTATTTTTTGTAACTTGGGGTAAAGATGTATAAGTATATGTATCACCCTATGTTCGGGTCTTATAGTTGAAACGTTACTTACTCTACATTTAGCTTGCTACTCGCTCGGTACTTATACTGACCCCTTCGGGGCCCCCACCATTTCAGGTTGAAGCTAGAGCTTGTTGTCTACACCTTTGCACGGGTGAAAGGATTCTAGAGGAAGACGTGGTTCGTGCTTCCTTTACTGTTTTAAATCATAAACTATGCTCATGGATACTTTTGTAATATTACTTTGTTTTGGCCTGCGAGCCTATGTTTTTCCATATGTGGCTTATGATTGACCGATGATTATTTTACGCTATTCTTTCAATCTATGATGTGATGTTGTTATGTATGTTTACTTGCTGAGTGTGGTATTAACGATGTTCATGAACGCCTTGTGTGATTAAGTGAGGTTGACTTGCGAGTGACGTCACTTGATCATACGACGGTTGTACACGTGCTTGGATGCAGTCCGGGCATGACAATTAAGTGGTATCAGAGCCATCTTAGTTTCTAGACTATGTAACAAACCTCTCACAAACGATTTTACAAAAGTTTTTACCGAAAAGCATGAGCATTGTATTTTGACGTTATAGGACTATTGTTACCTAGGTTGCAAGGTCTTTAGTTATTAAGATGGTACCCTTAACAATTGGCATGACGGTGACTTGGGCGAATACGTGTCTATAACGTTTTCCGTCATTTGACATTGATCGGAGTCTAATGACTCGTTCAAATTCCTTTTCAGAAATGGAAGGTAGACGTATGCCAACAAGGAACAATCCGAGGGGGCAAACACCGGTAGCTTCTTTTGGGGCTAGCCAGGCCGCATCTCGGGGCTCAAGAGGTGGAAGAGGAGGCCGTGGGGGCCGCAGAAGTCGTGGGGGCCATCGAGCCCGAACAGTGAGTGACGGTCATGTTGACTCGGTGTATGAAACCAACACCGAGGAATATGATGCAACCTACGTTCCCGAAACGGGGCATGAGGAGACCCCATATGACGGGGGTGACTTCCATACCGATGAGGAGGACAACGACGAAAGTGATGCCCAATTCGCCCAATTGGGTGAACTGTTTGAATGGTATCAAAAGGAGAAGCGAAGGAGGGAGCTGAGACACCAAGCTAGGCATGTTCCTCGAGGAGGTTCAGGCCAGGGGAGTCGGGGAGCTTCAAGGGCCATCTCAGGGGTGTCCTAAGGTGGACACGGTGGAGATTTCTGTGTCAGAATTTCCAAATATCTCAAGGAGGCAAGGGCTTTGGGGTGCAAATCCTTTGACGGCACCGGAGACATTACCGTTGCCGCCGATTGGATAAAGAAGGTGAAGGATGCAATGAAGGACATGCAAATCACACCTAATGTGAAGCTAACTGTTGCTTCACGGTTGCTTGAGGGGATAGCCTCTACGTGGTAGGAAAGTGTAGAAGGAAAATACCGTGGGGCTATCTC